AGACCAATAAATTCCAATAAATGAGCTCCAAACTTATATCAATATTCAACGATTAATGAATCTTATAAATTAGACCCACCACATATCCAGAAAATAAAAAACTATCAATCCATCACAATCTCAACCACCTTGACAGCCTTAATTTAACAGAAAAATCATCTACCTCAACCCCCAATTCAATTCAGAAGCCCTAATTCGACAATCCTAATTTAACAGAAAAAACCCTAAATTCAAAGGAAATGATGCTTACCTTAAACTGATATGAGAGAGAAATCGAGGAGAGGATATGACGTCGCTGATGCTGTCTCGTCGACGTCGTCACAGAAGGAGGAGTGCCTGTGGAAGGAATCAAAATCAAACAGACTGAGAAAAGAGGAGGCAAAGCGGCTCTGTTCAGAGAGAGATGTAAGGAGATAGAAGAAGGAGAATAAGAAGCCTGACTTACCTGAGAGGAGAGGAGATGTGGTCGTCGCCGCTTTCTCGTTGTCACAGAAGGAGCAGAGGAGCTGCCGTGGAAGGAATCAAACTCGAACAGAAAGAAAAATGAGAAACCCAACCCTAGTCGACTTGAAACATCTCTGATTGAAGGAGAGAGCAATTGTTTTTATTTTTGTCTTTTGTTTTACCTACAGCAACAAATTAACCGGTAATCAACAATCAACGGTGTGGATTATCTCTCATGCCCCAATTACTCATCCGATGGTTATAATAGTTGGCGCATCAGTGCGCCTGGCGCACTGTAGAATTTTCCCTTTCGTTCTCGCTCAATATTTGTTTTTGTTTTTGTTTTATATCTTCCTTTGCCCAACACTTCCCAGACACCACCCACTAAATTTCTTCTTTGTGTCTCATCCTTTTCTATTCATTTGGAGAGATAATAGTTGACATGGTTTTCAATCCTGGTTTTTCTTTTTGATTTATTTATTTAATAAGTAGCTCAATAAATGAATGACAAAATAAACAAGTCTAGTCAATAAATTGTTTGGCGACCATCAATATTGCTTCAGTTGGGTTTGGTTCATGGGAAAGGAGGCTTGAAGATGGGAAATTAATTGCTTTTTCATGTTTGGTAAGTCTATGTATGAGAAATAGTTGCCTAGGATATGGAAAAATAAGGGAAAAATATAACCCTCCTCTCTCCTTGAGTTTTATTTTCCCTTTTCATGGGAAACTTTGGAAAAATGAGCCAACATTAATAGCACATTTTTCATGACCATTTTGTCCCCATTAACTATTTAGAATTACAATATATCATTAAATGCATTTTATTTTATTTTATTTTATATAGGTATAATTGGAAATTTATACAAACTTTGTTTTCCATTTCTACTCAAAACAAACATGAGAAAGTAAATAAAGTGATCTCTTGGTTACTTTCCCAGCATTACCAAATATGAGAAAAGAGTCTTTCATTTATCATCCCTTAGGAAATGACATAGGAAATGATTTCCCATCAAATTCATTCCGTAAACCAAACGGGGTCATGTCTAGTTTTTCTAAGTCACGAGTATATCATTGGTTGACAGTGACATAAAGAAAATAGAGGTAGATGCAATATTTTTCCTCTGGGTTTTTTTTTCTTGTCTGACTCTTTTTTTCCCATGTATGTGTGATCCACTAATTGTCGATAAGGAATTGATGATCACACAAGAACTTAAATCCAGACATTTTCAATTGCCTAGAAACTTACCAATGGAGAAGTCTCAGTGCCGTTCATATAGGAAGTGCGGTGAACCAAGTCTCCGCCCTACCCTGTCCCATAATTATTCTGATCTTTCCACCAATCAATGCCAGCTTTGAAAAGTATTCTATGCTAGCTTTCAATGTGGTCCTCACACACACATTGGTATCATAGGGACTTGAACCTAGGACCCTTTAGGAGGAAAAAACTTATTTGTAATGGGAATATCATTGTTTTGCTATTCTCGACCAGTAACATAATGACACGTGAAAAAGTTATCATGCGTGTCTTTGTGTTATTGGTTGGAGATAGCAAAAAGTGTTATCTCCGTTGCATGAGAGTTTCTCTCGGGAGGCAAAAAACTTACTTGGAACGAGGATATCATTGTTTTGCTATCCTCGACCAGAAACATAATGACCTGCCATATTACTTTAGGGTTTAGGGTTTCTTTACTTTGGGAGCACACCAAAGGCCCGGAAATATAAGAAGTTGGGCAAGTGTGAACCAAATGCTTTCTGCAACAATTGTAACAACAGCCTCAGCCTTTCTCCAAAAGAAAACAATTAAACCAGCTCTTTTTCTTTTTCTTTCTTGTTTTGTCTTCTCTTCTCTTTCTTTGGATTGATGAAATTAAGGGGGTGTATTCAATTAGGATTTTAAAAGACTATTTTGGGATAAATAAGTCTTGTGGTATTCAATTAAGACTTTTAAATAATCTAAACAAGTTTTGTGGTATTCAATCAGAACTATTAGGATTTTTTAAAGAGGGTGTCCAAATCTATTGGTATTCAATCAAGACTTTAAACAAGTAACAAAAAGTCTTTTGGTATTCAAAAACTTGCTAATTTCGAAGGATTTTTTTTTAAGTAGGGAATTGGTGTGACTTTTTAGTGGATTGAAACAATCTTACCACTGGAGAAGTCCATTTATGTATAGTACATGCTTTAGCTTTGATGCAACTAACCTTCTCAACTTTAACTGCATAACAGCATAATAATTGTTTAACTTACTCTCTAACAGTCAACCAATTCTCTAACAATATAACAGATGCAACCTAGCATAGACTCAGGGCCGTCCCCATGGGAGAAACTTAAATTGTTGTTAGTTATGATAAGAAGTTTATTTTGTGGAGTATTCAATATTCTACATTTTCTTCTCTATAGAATTAATTAAAAACAAAACTTGAAATACTTAAGCGTTATCAATGACCTTATGTTCAGGCAATCACAGACCATATACTAAAATAAAATAGAAATACTACTACTTTAATGAAACACACATTTCACCTACTACTCATTAAAAAGAAACAGACTTTTCACCCAACTCTTTTCGCTGTTGCTCGGCCCCCAACTCTTTTTCCCTTCAAGTTTTCCCTTCAACTGGAAAGAGGAGACAAACAATTACTTCTTTTTCCCTTGAAAAAATAAATAATAAAAGAGAAAAACAAAATTTAGCATACCATTTATCCCGGACAATTATAATAACAGACTGCACATGTTGGATTTTGTAAAAATCCTCTCCTCCTTCCCGAAGCCTGCTACAGAATTCAAAATGCATCCAACCGATGGTTAATTCCCTGAGGGTAGAAATATATTGGAGCCCATCTGGAACTGCCTCCAACTTTTGGCAATTGCAAATGTGCAATCTGCAGAGACTAGGCATGGCTCCTTTCTCCACCTTCCATTCTTTTAAGTGCATCAAGTCAGAAAGAGAAAGAAATTCGAGTAATGGAAAGCCTCCTTTTGAGCAAACAAGAGGTCCCCCAAAAGTAATGCCAAGATGGAATTTACGCCGCATATGAAGGAAAAGCATTCTCAAGCTTGGCAGCTTCTCTAATACTTTTATGTGGTCGTCCTTGAGATCACCAAAATCTATCAGTGTAAGCTTGGTGAGGTTCGTAAGGCGCAGGAGGTCTTTTGGTAACTCTGTGATTTCTCCATGTAGTCGCAGCTTGTATATATTAGGACAGCTTAATGCTATGTTCCATGGTACAACCTTAAAAACAGAGTCCACCGATAGGGAGTGGAGATGCTTAAATATGATGTTTGTCCCTTTCTCCTTTTTTTCCACTCCGTCCAATGCGATGACTCCCAATTTTCTAAGGTTGGTTAGTTTAACAAAATCATCTAGATCAGATGATGCCTGAATACAAATATTGACTATCGTGTGCAAATTCACTGCCTCAGTAGCAAATAACAGACGTTTCTCTCTTGCACTCTGATATTTGGGTAAATATATATGTCTCAATTTTTCCATCTTGGAAAACACGTTTCGATTTGGAATTTTAAGATCCCAATAAAGGCTACGTAAATCTAGAGTCTGCAAACATACCAAATTTGCTATAGATGATGGCACCGCTTGAATATCACTATCCTTTACACTTAAAAACTTTAAGTGCACTAGATTCCCAACTTCATTCGGTAACTTGAACTCTCTACCATGCATACCTTCAAACTTCAAAACTCTAAGCAATGTGAAGTTCTTTAATAGTGACCGCAATAAGTTTTTGGTCACCTTTGATCCCAAGTTCCAGAATTTTGGGACAAAGTATAACAAAGACCTAACATGTCCATCTCTTTCATCTCTCCTCGGACAACATGCCCCAACTGTTTCATCCAAATAGAAGGCAAGGCTTCGAACTTTACTGTTTGGTATTTCCTTGGTCTCTGTAGCTACAGAATAATTGATAATATGGACAAAGTTCCCTTCTTTTGCCTTTAACATGCATAAGTCTCGCATAAGATCGTGGAGATGACAAGTCTTGATCTTCTTACTCGAACCATGTTTTCCAACTTGAACCATGCACCTGCCCACTAACTCACTTAAGCACATATATGATACATCTTCCATTACTTCTGCTGATGCCGATGATATAAAACCTTCTGTCATCCATAGTTTAGTCAATGTACTCACATGTATTTCATAATCTTCCGGAAAATGGGCTAAGTATAGAAAGCATAGTTTTAAGTGATATGATAAATTATCGTAACTCAATTCCAATATCCATGATACCCCTTCATATCCTTCACCTTTGTAATTGGGTCCAAGGTCTGTGCCTCTCCTTATATATGCATAAACATTCTTATGCACCGCATTCCACTCATCAACTGTGTCTTTTCTAGCTAGAAGTCCCGCAAGCACCGTGATGGCTAGTGGCAAACCTTTACAATGTTGAAGCATCTCCGTTCCTAGCTCTTTCTTCTGTTCATAAATTTTAGGGTCTGAAAAATAATATTAAGACCAAATTAATTAACTACATGTGTTCAATTGCACGAGAAGTATACAAAACAAATTGTGTCATTCTATCATTCCCTTACTTCAATCACTACTACAAAAAACGAAATAGACGACGGGGATCCACCGTCGTTGTAATGCTTTGAAAACCGTCGTTAAATCGACCGCCATCTATTTGGGTGTCAAACTACGACGGCTTTTCACCGTCGTTGTTCATCTGTAAAGACGACGGTTTTTAAAGAAAATCGTCGTTGTTTAGAGGTAAAGATCGTTAATTATAGGATGAAAGACGACGGTTTTAAAAACCGTCGTGTATTGTATGTAAAGATGACGGTTTTTTATGAAAACTATCATCTTTACATACAATAGACGACCCTTTTTTTTAAAAACCGTCATCTTTACATATAATAGATGACCCTTTTTAAAAAGACCGTAATCTTTACATATAATAGACGACCTTTTTTTTCCAAAAAAAACGTCATCTTTACCTATAATAGACGACCTTTTTTATAAAAAACCGTTGTTAATTATTTGTAAAGATCATGATTTATTATAAAAACCGTCGTTTAATAAGTTCCCAAATTGCTACATTTTAGTTCTTTTTGATTTCCTATGATGCTATACAACGATTTTAACTAGAAAACCAACCATAATGCTTTACTAATGAATATATACACTCAAAAATAGTTTCTTTCATAAAACTTGAAGATTCAATAGTTATTACATAGTTAACCAATCTTTATTCTACAACAAACATAATTCCTAACAAGACCTACGTACTCCTAATCCAAGCCTTCCTCATCCAAACATACAAATGATGCACAACTAAACATACAAATGATGC